CCTGCCTTCTGCCCAATGACAGCTGGGATAGGCTCCGGCACCCCACCGCGACCCAGAAGGATAAGCGGTTTAGATGATGTGTGTGTGTGTGATTGATTAAGGAATTAAACACTTTTTACTGTATTAAAAGAAAGAGCTGACTTCCCTAGAGCATCCTTAGAGCAGAACCTCTCCAGAAAGGCACATTTACAGGAGAAGTAAAGACTTTACTGTTCGTTTTGGTGACATTTTTTGCCCCCAAATTAGTTTAGGCCATTTCTATTGGTCCACATATGATGAATTGTTTGCACAATGTAAAGGCACAAAACAATGACAAAAATAGAGTTGATGTATTCCTCTAAATAGATCCTCCCTCCTTTGAGAAAAGAATAAAGTGGCCTATTAGTTGTGAAAAGTGCTTTATAAATAAATAATAATAGCATATACATTAATAAATGTATAATTAGGAGTGCTGCTCTTAAAACGCTCCTCCTAAAACACTGTTGGTCTTTCTTCATGCATGAACTTCCTCAGGGTCCTCACCTCACATCCTGACTGTCAGCAGACTCTCTAAACCATCAGAGCGGGTCAGGAGGTCAGCAGCGGTTCACTCTCACTAATCTGACTCAAAACCTCGACTTACAGGGTCACATGCTGGTGTCTCATCAGGTGTGCAGTCAGTGTTTACTGTACACAGTGAGAAAACGGCTTATTCTGCATTAACAGACTGAGGAATGTGGAGACTGAGCTGTGTCTGAAGGTTGTTTCTTTATTTCAGCGATACGAGGCTAATAGGCCCTTTTCACATCTCACATTTTTCTACTGGAACTTCTCGTTGCAGGGTAACGCTGCTTCCACTAAAGCAGCGACAATAACATGAAGGCGAGTAGAAGTGTACAGCTCGCTCAAGTGTTAGAGCTTAAAGCAAAAACAGCCTCATCTCAGATTCAGTGGTCTGTCAGAGGAAAACGAGTCTGTAGTTAATAAAGGAATAAACTTCATCATACGGAGTTAAAGACCCTCTGTGTCAGTGTTTCAGCGCTGCTGAGTAACGTTAAGGTGCAGTGTGTGCTGTAAAGTTGCTGCTTCAGCCGCTTTCAGAGGAACAGTTTTCATTTTCTCTGTAAAGCTGTTGGTATCTGAGAGAGCGACAGCTCAGCGGGGAGCAGATGTTCACTGGAGACGGTGTTTGTGTAAAACGTCCACAGTGGTGCTACAGACCCTGATGACCCGGCTCGCCCCCTGCTGGAATGTGTGTGTGTTGAACTTTTTGCCATTTAGTTTATTGTTAGTTTCAGCTAACATGGCTAATCTGGCATTTTGGTTATAGTTATTTTCCCCTCCATTGGTTTGTCTCTCTGTAGTCGTTAGCTGATGTTACTCTGCTCTGACAGCTGTGAAGGAATTTTTCCACACAGCATTTATATCCTTTATTTAGTCTGGGCTCTCCAACTCACATCCTGGCAACTACAACAACGATGAAGCGACTCTCCTTTCTGTGGTGCTGAAGTGATACGAGCGCCTGTATTTCTGAGGTCAGTAACCGTCTGTAAAGCAGTAGCGGAACCTTTTTCCAGTGTTTACGCACTTCCGCTTCCTGTGAAAACGGCCTGTGAGGCTAATGTAGCCACCAGTAAGCACTGAGGGGGCTTTCCTCAAACTGCTGCACAAAGATGGTTCTTAAGGGTTCTTTAGTAAAGTCAATGATTCTATACAGAACCATGAACACTCAAAGAAGCATTTGCATGCTTAAATGGTTCTTTGCACGGCGAAATGGTTCTTCAGATATATGGCACCAAAAAGGGTTCTGCTATTGCTACAAGCTTGACATTGTAACTATTGCAGAACCCTTTTCAAAAAGCATCTATATAGAACACATTCTCCATTAATCTGAAGAACCATTTCACCATGCAACCTGCATTTAAGCATGAATTAGTCCTACATAGAACTCATGGTTCTTTTGGTTCTTCAGATGGAGAATGTATATAGTTGTATATAGCACCAAAATGGGTTCTTTGACTGTTACAAGCTTGACTCCTTAAAACTATAGCTTTCAAGGGTTCTTTACTGAATAACCCTTGAAGAACCATCATTTTTAAGTAACAACATTTAAAGTCTTGGATGATTTTAGTACTTTATGAAACTCGTCACTATCAAATCCAGTGGGAATAACTGTCCGCGGTTGAGCTGAGACACAGAGCGAAAACTCTCCACAGTCTCAGTTAGAGAGGGATCAGCTTCTCTCCCTGTTTAGACCTGCTGCATATTTAGGCAGGAATGTGTGGGCTGAGATCAGGTTGTTGTATTTGTGCTTATTTCCACAAGCTGCTCAGAAGCTTCTGCCGTTTCTTTGTGTGAACACTGAAGTCCTGTTATTTAGAGGTGAAACAAACTGTTTACTGTCTGAACACTGCAGGAAAATTAGGCTGGCTGACTGAGTCCATCAAAGCACCGAATCAAGGCTCGTTCCCTTCCAGCAGCAACTGACACAACGTTAATGACATCACTGTTAACAGCTAGT